TTTAATATGGAGTATGTTTTTGGCTGCTCAGATTTTCCCTTTTGTGAAAGCACCTGTTCAAGTCTTTTCCTCTCTTTTCCGATTGCTTGGTCATCCTTTTCTTACTGATTTTTCAGCATTCTTCATCTGTTCTGGGTACTAGTCATTTACTGATTTTAGGTTGCAAGCATTTTCTAGCCGGTGGCCTAACTTTTCACCCACGTGGTGGAGTTTGGGGGTAAACAAGTTCACAACTTTTATACCATTGAACCCTTGGAAGTCAGGTAGATACGTTGCCACTAGCACCTGGGGACTTTTTCTGACGGGTTATGTTTGCTACACAACAATTTCTAACCAAGTCTTTTAAACTTTCCTCTTTGCATCATAGCTAGTGACCATCAATGAAACCCCAAACTTGAACCCCACAAGTAGGTGATAAATCTTTTAGCAACCGTAACCATCAGCATGGAAATGACATTTAAAAGAGAGAACAGTTACTGTTAAAATGTAATGATGCCAGTCGGTTTCAAATCCATTTTCATGCTTTCCAATCAAATCTTTTCAAATGATACTGCCACTGGTTTTCAGAATACACATGCGCGCTGCTGGAGTCGTCACCCTGGGACCGTGCAGAGGGCACACCAGTGACCATCAGGCTCTGCTGGTCTTTCCACCCACCCCAGCCCGCGTCACCCCCCTTTCCCAGCCGGCCATACCTTAGTGTTGAGTTTCCTGGGCACTTGGGACCTGTTCTCCTTCTGCACCTCAGTTGGCACCTCGTCTGCAGTGGGCAGCGGAGATCACAGGGGCCGGAGGGGAGAGGAGAGCAACTGCCAGCCAGCCCCGAGCTACCTACCGTCCCAGGAGCTGGGGGCAGGACTATTCACAGCTGGAGCCCACGGGCCAGGCTGATGGCCAGCGGATCAGGGTTTCCTGCCACACCTGCCGTCCGCGTGGCTTCTCTGGGACTCAGGCTGGGAAGCTCTGCTCTAGGCAAGAAGAAATCTTAGAATGCGTGAAGGCAGGGTGAGAAGGAGCAAGGGAGGCAGTGGGTGAATTAGAACAATCACTCGCCCTGGCTGCACAGTCAAAACCACTGCGTCTGCTCTAAAATCACATTGGTAGCCGGGGCCCCACTCCCGGAGAGGCTGGGTTCATGCGCTGTGGGCGAGGCGCAGGCGTCAGTCAATATTTGAAAGTTCTCCAGGTGATTTCAAGATACAGCTGGTGATGAGAATCAGTGTTAACGTGCCCCAGGGCGGCATGTCAGTGGGGAGTCTGCAGTGAGAAACTGGAGGGCCTGCGTCTTTACTGAGGCGTTGAAGAGGGGGTGCTGGTGTAGACCCCTGTTTCTTAGACTGAGGTCCTGGAAGCTTCTCCCCCATGCAGGTCCCTGGGCCTGTAGGTAATTAGGATTTCTAGGGCTGGGACTCAGTGACCTGCGTTTTAAATACGCTCTCTCCAGGTGCTTCTCACAACACTAACGTTCGAGAAGTGAGAGGTATTTCGGAGGTAGGACCCACAGGAGTCAATCATTACCTACCGGTATTAATATAAACATGAAAAAACGACTTTAAGGATTTACCAGAGTGAACAGCCCCAAAGAAATACGTGCATACATTCACCAAAAGGGACGCCCTGGATTGAGCCTCGGTAAAACCAGTAAAAACACGCCGGCTGCCTTCAGAGAATTCATTCTCCTTGCTGTTCGCCAGTAAGCCTCGGGTTTGAGCTGGTTTGGGTCTGGGCAATCTATCACGGGTTCAGCTTCGACATACTTGGGAAGCTGTTGATGGGGGAGATTGTCTACCAGCCTTTAGGGTGGAGAAGCAATAGGTCAGAGAAAAAGCATGCGCACTCCTCTCAGCCTGGATGTCCACGTACCCTTTCCTGTCATTAGAGACTCCTGCGGGCCTCCCTTTGGGTTTCCAAGCTCAGTTCTACCCAGTAATTACTGTAGTGTTTGCAACAGTCACACCTGGCAACCCAGGGATGTTTTGCAAATAACAATTCATCTCACTCTTGAATTTGCATATAAATATATAGGCCTAGATGTAACACGTGAAAGGTGGGACTAAATTATAATCCTTTACATTGGCAAATAGATGGACATGGGACACTAAAAGTGAGTTTTATTTTTTTATAAAAAAATGTTTAATAAGATTTAATTTTCCCAAATTAAGTAAACATTTTAGCTTTAATGAATAATCTCTGTTTTCATCCCTCAATTTTCGAAGCAATTTTGAACAGATAAAGAGAAAAATCATTTTTGGAAATGTGAGACCATTCTGATTTTTTATTTTCTAACTCCTGATTTACATTTTTAGATTAAATTTTATTACATTTTTGCATGTTTGGAAACAGCTACACATCATTTTTTAATCCTTTGGATCACTGAAATGAATGTGAGTCAAGATCATATAATGATGACAGAGGAGAGGAAAAACTGAAAAGGACAAATAGAAAACTCCAAATAAGAAGGCTGCTTAACGTTTTAAAAACGAGGAACAATGAAAATGAAGATGATATTGAACATCATCCTTGTAAAATTTAGAAATAAGCATTATAAATTATTTATTAATGAAGGTTTAATTTCTCGTGAAAATGAATAATTATTCTTATCGAATGCGCACCTTGAACTTCAGGTCAGATTAAATGCTTGCAACTTCCTATTGCTTCCTAAATGATCCTTTAGTGATTAATGAAAACATGGAGGTGGAAAAGAGGATTATTCATGTCAAATACATAATTCAGAGGTGACAAGTGTAGCTCTGGGCTGCACCTCGCCAGATAAAGAAAATTATAGCCATGAAACCAGCAAATTAATCGGAAAGGACAAAACCTCTGGATGTTACTGTGTTTGTTGGATAATGATACGGAAAAGAGACTCTAACCCTTTTGATAGCATGAGATTATTTCCAGCAAAACACAAATGTGTTTCAAATTAATGGTGTAGACGAAAAAGGGGCTACATGATAATCTGGCAAGCTGTGGGGAGGAGGGAGGAGTGTAATGCAGCTCTGACAAGCTCAGTGACCAAAATTTACCACACAAGCTGCAAAACGGCCATTTTCCAGAGCATTTTTCTCAATCTGTTGAGCTCTTGCTTCTGGGCATGTTCTCAAAATGTGGCTTAAACTCTTATAAAATGTCCTCTAGGTTTGGACGTTCTTTCATCGACAGTGGTGATGGTTTTCCATTGGTTAATCATGACATAAATTACAGTATTGTGCCTGGTTGCGGTGGCTCAGAGGTTAAGAGTCAACCTATGCACCAGGAGGTCATGGTTCCATTCCTGGCCAGGGCACATGCCCCGGTTGGGGGCTCAATCCCCAGTAGGGGGCATTCAGGAGGCAGCCAATCAATGATTCTCTCTCATCATTGATGTTTCTATCTCTCTCCCTCTCCCTCCCTCTCTGAAATCAATAAAAATATACTTTACAGAAAATTACAGCATTGCATTTAACACCAAGTCTTTCACACGAAGTGTATTAAGCTTGTCTTTTTATTCTGATGTTTTAACACCTGGGGCCTTACTGGCCCTGGAGAGGTCCTATCCACCCGAACACAAAAATAGTCCATTAGAATATCAGAAAGGGGCCAATTAAAGGTGAAAACTCAACGGGGAGATTATGCCAAGCTGAACAACTCTCACTTGGCTGATTTCTGTAAGCCCAGGGGTCATGAGCAAAACCTCCTGGGCTTCAGCAGTCATTTCCCAAAAGACCTACATGCATGGAAATCTCTGGTGGAAATAGAAGCAAAGAACCATAGGACTTTCCGTAAATTTCCCTGGCATTTGGTACACGTATTAGATCTAGCGTGGTATTCTGACGCCCACAGTGTAGGTGAACGACAGAGCTGGGGTCTGCCCCTTGGATGACGACATTCTAAGCAGAAGCTCGTAGCCCGGGTAACAAGACAGGGCGACGTTTACAGGTCGGATAGGGGTAGGTAAGCCCAGCCAGAAGTCTGAGAGGTTAGGTTCTCTATTCTTCCCTGGGTCTGTGTAACAGGCCTGTGGAGTGCGGTGCAGGACAGCCCAAGAGTAGAAGCTCATTGAATAGCAGCTGAAACATGGGAAAACACGCAGTTGTTTGTCTGGCTATGACTCAAAGTGTCCACTAGAGGGCACATAACTTTAAGATGGGTTGTTTTGGTTTTTTACAGGTCAAAAAACTGGATAAATTATAATTATTGGAATAATAAGTAATAAAAGATACCTTTTATTGCACACTTTCTAAGGTCCAGGAACTCCCCCAAACACCTTATATGCATAACTTTATTTATTTACTGTAATCTCTTCACCTAGCCACATCAAAGTTATAATTAGGCAAATTGTTAGTTAACTTGTTTTTTTTTTCATTTTTAAATGTGATTAAACCAAAATGTATTTATATTTGACCAAGGAATTTCTTAGGAAATTTATTTTCCCAATCATCTTTTGCTTATGTTGCTAATTAATTGTAGTAGTTAGTTAACTTGTTTTTCATTTCTGTCCCACATTGGACTGGAAGTTCCATGAGGATAATGTGTGTTTAATTTATTGTTCTGTCCTGATTAGTGAGTCTGGATCATTGTCAAAACTAAAATCAGTAAGATTTTAGAAGAACTTTTACTTTTATTTAGTTGTTGATTATGCTGATTAAAGGTATTGGTAATTATTTAGACAAATTTGTGAATTTACATTCAAAATAGGCTTATATAGTGCTGACCTCATTCCAAGCACAGTTCTAAGTTGCTGTTATTAGCTTCATTTAACAGATGTGGAAACTGAGGCACAGAGCTGCTTTTGTGTGTATGTGGTGTGGTTTTTTGTTTGTTTGTTTGTTTGTTTTTAATTAATCCTCACCCAAGGATATTTTTCCATTGACTTTTTTTTTTTTTTTTTTTTTTTTTTTTAGAGAGAGAGAGAGTGGAAGAGTGAGAGACATGGAGAGAGAAACATTGATGTGAGAAAGACACATCGATTGGTTGCCTATCGCACACGCCCTGACTGGAGTGGGAGATGGAGCCTGCAATCGAGGTTTGAGCCTTTGACTGGAATTGAACCTGGGACCCTTCAGTCTGTGGGCCGATGCTCTACCCACTGAGCCAAACAGGCCAGGGCCAGAGCTGCTTCTTATGTTAGGAAACATGCCCAAGATTTCACAACCAGTAAATGGCATAGCCAGGATTCAAACTCAGGTATCCTGGCTGCAGACTCCAGACACATAATCACTACTCTGCCTCTAAGATTCACTTAATGAGTTGATACAATTATTACATAAAGCAGTAATTGCATAGGTAATAATTCTTCTGAGTCGCAGCAAACAAATTTAGGGAAACTTTTATGCATTTTTCACAATGGACTTTTCATGCATTTGCAATAGTGGTGTTGGGAAAATAAGCATATAAAGGACAGAAGGTATCCTTGCTTCTCAAAACCTCGTTTCCACATGGTGAGAAATTATAAACTATTATCTCCTTTCCAAAAACCAAACACCTGAACCAACTAACATGCAAAGGCCAGACTTCTTGGCACGTCCACAGAAAAGCACTCCACATAAGACGCAGAAAGCTTTTAATATCATCAAGGAAGTTTTGCAATTCAAACAACACACAAAACCGCATGACTCGGCAATTCTACCTCTAGGTAGAGCACCCAAGACAACCAAAGACCGATATTCAAACAAAATACTCCGGGCAGCACTAGCCACAATGATGCTATTCACAGCAGCCAGGATGTCCGTCCGCAGATGAATGGATAAACAAAAGGTATTGCCCCGCAATGGAATAGTGTTCACTGTTCAAGGGAATGAAGTGCTGATCTGTGCTACAACCGAGATGAACTTTGAAAACACGAGGCAGATGAAAGGAGTCAGGCGGGAAATGTCACATTTTGTCTGGTTCTATTTGTCCAAAGTCTCAGAAGAGGCAAATCCATAGAAGCAGAAAGCAGACTAGTGACTGGGAGGTGCTGGACACAGAGGGGACGAGGGACAGGTAAAGATCGGGGTAATCTGAGCTTTCCCTGGAGTCTCCAGTGGGACGCACTTGAAATGGAAGTCCTCCACCAGGACAGGGCTCAACCTGTCCCACCCCCACTGTACACCTCGCTCTCCTCGCCTCCGGTTCTCAGACCGTCTCCCTCACACCTTCCTCCTTCCAGCCTCTGAGTCCCCCTCCGGATGGCTGGCCTCAGGTCACAGGGCCTCCAGGCGGAGTGATTCTCTCTGGAGGAGTGCGCTGGGGATAAGGGGCACTCAAGTCTCATACAATAGTGGATCTTTTTTTCCCATGTGCTTTTAAAAAAATATATTTTATTGATTTTTTACAGAGAGGAAGGGAGAGGGATAGAGAGTTAGAAACATCGATGAGAGAGAAACATCGATCAGCCGCCTCCTGCACACTCCCCACTGGGGATGTGCCCGAAACCAAGGTACACGCCCTTGACCGGAATCGAACCTGGGACCCTTCAGTCCGCAGGCTGACGCTCTATCCACTGAGCCACACCGGCCAGGTCCATGTATTTTTTATTGATTTCAGACAGGAAGGGAGAGGGAGGGAGGAAGGGAGGGAGGGAGAGAGAGAGAGAGAGAGAGAGAGAGAGAGAGAGAGAGAGAGAGAGAGAGATGATGATGAAGAATCACTGACTGGCTGCTTCCTGCATGCCCCCCACTGGGAATCAAGCCTGGAACCCGGGCATGTGCCCTGATGGGGAATCAAACCGTGGCCTCCTGGGTCCTGGGTCGATGCTCAGCCACTGCAATAGCTGGTCTTTGGGGCAGGAGCGAACGTGGATCCTCTAATTTCCTTTACTGTCCAGTGAGAACTGGTGGACCTGTGAGCAGACCTGTTAGATGAAGCACAGGCTGCTCTCTCAGAAGACAGACAGGGACTCCACTGTCCAAATGGAGCAAGAGTAAGTCAAAGCTGGGGCGAGCGCCAGAGTGTCTGAGGTCCAGAGAGCACACACAGGGAGAGGGAGCGCCTGGCTGGGGGCAGGACAAACAACGCAGGGCTTGGCTGGGGAATGCTGAGAGTGCAGAGGCTGCCTCCGGTGGATAAGGGTGGGCTGGCTGGGGGCCTGGGCTCCCCTGGCTCTGTCCCCAAGAGGGAGGACGGAGTGGGGCTGGGCTTGCTCCTGAGACGTGTGCTGGGCTGAGGGGACCCCTGGGGGACCCCTTGGCGGCTGGTTTCTCTGGGCCTTGGCTGCCGCAGGCACCTTCCCGGGGCCCCAGCTGTGCGAGGCTGCACAGGGTGTTCCTTTTCCAACTGCAGACCAACCCACCCGACAGGTTTGCTGATGAGCGAGCGCCCAGGTCCCAGGCCAAGAGGTGTGTGTGAGCGGCAGGCACTCGGCATTCCAGGCAGGCACTCGGCTCGGCTGCAGCTCTGCCAGCCGCTGGGAGGCCTCGCCGTGGCTCTCGGAAGTGCAGTCCCAACTTCAGGATCAAGCAGGGAAGGACCTGGAGTACGAAGCCCCTTGGGGCCCCAGAAGGACTCTGAGCAACGGTGCCTGCCTTTCTCTCTATCCCCCCACTCCTTCCCTCACCCCTGTAACCCTCCATCTCTCACCCCATTCATTCCTTCTTCTCCTGCTGCCCGACTGACCTCCCTGTCTTCTCATCCATTAACCCCCCACCCCACTATCTTCTTCCTCCATACTCTTTCCTTCCCTGTTCCCCGATTCCACCCCCACTCTCCCTCCCCCCCACATCCCCACCCCCCCATTTCCCCTCACTGGTCTTTCTCTCCCACCAACCCCCAACCCGCCTCCCTTTGCTTTACCCCTTCCTCCACCTTTCCACTGGGCCCCGCATTTCCCTCCACTTTGCTCCTTTTCACTTCCTCTCCCTCCCTTTTCCTCCCAGTCCTCTTTCCCCTCCCTCCTCACTCCCCCCTCCCCTCCTAGCCCCCTCCCCCCCCCCCCCACTCCTCCCCGCTCCACCCCGCCCAGCAGTGTTTGCTTTTCTCCCGGATCCAGATGAAAGGGTTGCCCTGCCCCTGCCTGTGCCCTGCCCACTTCTGGCTGCTGGGGTCCTGCTTCATGGCTGAGGGCTCGGGGGCTCGGGCCCTGGGGAAAGGGCCCCGTCCCAGCATCCAGCTCCTGCGGGCCCAGTACCAAGACCTGAGGCAGCAGCAGAGGGCCCAGGCGCACTTCGTGGTGCTCCCGAAAGGTAGGGCCGCAGCAGCGGGCGAGGAGGGCCTGGCTATGGGGAGGGGGGGGGGTGAGGGGGGGTGTCCACAGCTCTAAGCAGGACTGGGCCCAGGCTCTGCTGGCCTGCCCTCCTGATGGGGGAGAGTGGAAACGCTGGAGGCCGAGCCAAATAGAGAGGCTGGTGCGGGCAGCTCTGAGGGCTCCAAGCCCCTGGCCCCTGAGCCAGGCCTCACCCAGGCACCTGGCCTCTGCATTTCTGTTCCCATCTTGCTGGACGGGTCTGCCTGGTGCACAGAGTTGGCCCCTGCAAGGCCAGGTGGGGAGATGGGAGCTCTGCTTCCTGGCTGGGTCTTACCAGGCACCTCTTGCAAACCCAGGAAATGTGGCATCACCAACAGCCCGGGCACCGGCCAGGGGAAGCGCAGGGCTCAGGGTCCCTGGAGGAGCCCTGGCTGGGGAGCTGGCTCATCGCAGCCTCAAACAGCAGCCAGGGAGGTGCAAGGAGACACAGCAGCCCGCCTCCCCTCCAGGGGTGAAGCCTGCTTCTGTGGGAACCCCGATTTCATTGCGGGAGGAAGTTAGGAACCAGGCTCAGAAAGCAAGTGATTGTGAGACCCTGGTCCTTCCACCTCTCCCAGAGGAACCGGCCCCAGGAGGTGGGAAGCTCCCTGAAAGGTCAAGGCTGTGCCTTGGAGTGGCCGTGGGCATTGATACCATCAGGATGGGGCATTAAGGAAGCATCGCGCCCCCACCTCCTCTGTTCTCAGAGAAGCACAGGGCACTTTGAGTATCTGTAAAGGTTTCCATGTTGTAAAGGTTTCCATCCCAGAACACACAGCCGTAAGTTAAGAAAACGGTACCGCGGGTCCGAAGCGGGAACCAGTCTTCAGAATTCCCACCGGAGTTAGTGTTTGCGGGACAGTGACTTTGCAGACGTGGCCGCCTGCGCCCTTGTTTCTCCTGGATTCCCAGGCCTGGAGCACAGGGGCTGCCTCTGACTCCGTCCCCCAGCGCTCTCCACCCCTGCCAGACACTGTCACCTCCTGGGCCTCCTGCAGGCGGCAAAGGCCAGAATGCTCCCGAGAGCTGCACTGACATTCCGGGGGCCACTGCAGGCTGGTCACAGGCCTGCTTCCTGTAGGAGCATGCCTTCCACACACCCAGCCCCACAGCCCTCACTGCCACCAAGCGCCGACAGTCATGACCACGTTCTACAGTATAACAATAGGCCCCTGAAGAAGAGAGAGACTGGTCCGCACACTCACCCCTGAAGCTGTTCAGGGAAGCAGTGGGTGCTGCAATGTGTCCCCAGAGCAGAGCCTGTGGGAAGAAGGGCCAGCCCCCCAAAAGGAGCTGCTTCGAACACAATGCCTCCCTCCTCGCCGTGGGTGGTAAACCCATGGTCAGAGGCCCAGGACACACCGCCCGTAAGTTAAGACTTTCCCGCTGGTGCCCGTATGTGAATCCTGACATGGGTGACCACGTGTGTGCCTTCGCTCCTTGACATTCGTTCCGCCTGAAATGCTAGTTCCTTAGTTCTCCCTCGGCTCACTCCCCCGATGCAGGAAAAAACCAAGGCCTCGTTGGGCTGGTGTGGCTCAGAGGTTGAGTGTCAACCCAGGAACCAAGAGGTCACCAGTTCGATTCCTGGTCAGGGCACATGCCCCCATTGTGTTGAGACTTGACCCTCAGTGGGAGGGCATGCAGGAGGCAGGCAGATCAGTGATGTCTCTCTCTCATTGATGTTTCTATCTCTCTATCCCTCTCCCTTCTCTCTCTCTCTCTAAAAATCAATAAAAACATATTTTAAAAAAATTGAGGCCTATTATTAAATTCCATTATGCTTGCGTCTTTCTCCATATCATTGTTTCCCTCCCTAAATTTTATTATATTCATTGGCTTATTGTTTTTCTCCCCCACTAGAACACATCATGAAGGTATGGATTTTGTCTCAATGTTCACTGCTGTATTACCAGGACCTAGGATAAATAATGCCTGACCTATAATAAGTGCTCAATAAATATTTGTTGAAGGAATGAATAATTGTGTGTGTGAGAGAGAAAGAGAGACAGCTTGCATGGGTGTATGTGTGTGAGGTTGGGAGGGGGTGCACACGTGTGCTCATGTGTGTGTCCCTGTATATGTGTGCGCACACATGCGATGTACTGGGCACCTGGCCTCTGTGATATTTGGGGCGTAGCCCTCTTTAATGGAGCTGCCCAGGTGCCTCCCAGTGGTGACCCTGCTTGTGCCTTGCTTTCTCAGGAGGGAACACGTCTGCTCCTGCTGAATCCATGGTCAGTGCTGTTTGGATTAACAAGGAGAGGAGGCACTCACTGTCCCAGGACAAGGTGGACCCTGAGGCAGCGGGGATGCTGGAGGAGGCGGACAGTGGCTATCTGCAGGTCCCTAGGTCTCCATGGCACACGCACCTACAGATGTACTGCTCGGTCCAAACCTTCCACCAGGACGCCAGCCAGCAAGTCAAACACCAAGGCGTGTTCCCGGGCTCTGAGCAAAGGCTTCCTCAGGAGAGAGACTTGGGCTTGTTGGAAAGCAAGCAGGTGACTCAGCAAGAGACCACGACCCCAGAGGCAGCCCAGCATGAATATCAAGTAGACCATCCCCAAACAAAGACAGTGGGGTCCGGCTTCCACAACGGCCTTCAACGTCCTTCCTCCATCAAGAACCCACAACGGCCTGGAAAACCAGTGCACTATCCATTTCCCCAGAGGAAAGCGCCCAGGATCTCCCAAGCTGCCCGGAACCTGGGCTTATATGGCGCCCCCTGATGCTTTCTCCTCAGCCAGATGTCCTAGCCTTGAGGCCAGCTCTGGTCTCATCACAGAACCCGGAGGCAGAGCCACCAGGGGGACCCCTCGCTATGAGCAGAACTGGGCTACCTCACTGGTAGGGATTGTGGGAAATGAACTTCACAGTGGGCACATGGTCTTGTCCTTCAGAAAAGAAGAGCTTGCCCAGAGCAGATGGCTCACAGTTCAGGATGAAAGAGCTCCCTCTGACCCATGCAGCCTGTTCTGCTCACACAGGAAGACATTGCTACGTTGCTGGGGAGCCCTGGAGGCCCGTTCCTTAGGGAGGTCCAGTAGGACACCTGCTCAGTCCCTAGAACCAGGGAACCAGTTTGAAACATAAAAAACAGGGACCCTGGCCAATGGGATGCCCTAGCAGTGCCCCGGAGTCAACGAACATGGACAATCTGGTTTCCAATATCTTCTGGTGATTTCTCACATGTTCTGCAGAAGATGGGCTCTGAGGATTGGCTTTTTCTGGTTGCTCTGCCTGGAGGCCAGCTCACTTACAAGTCACTACGTTCACTGTAGTGACCACACCATTTCAGCTTGAGCTTCCCAAAGTATGGTCACCCTGGGTAAAGTGGGGCGGAACAATGCCACCTGCCACTTTGTGTTTGAGGGGTCTTTGGAAGGGTTGGTCACCTCTCACCTCTCACCGAGACTGCACATTCCAGTGTCATCACACATTTACTTCCTCCTGTCCTTCCCTTCCTCACTCCCTTTTCCCTCCTTTCCTTTCCTTTCCTTTCCTTTCCTTTCCTTTCCTTTCCTTTCCTTTCCTTTCCTTTCTTTTCCTTTCCTTTCATTCCTTCCTTCCTTTTCTTCTTTCCTTCCCTTCTACTTTTCTAGTTGTCTGTCGTCTCTCTCTTTTCCTCCTTCCCTCTCCCCTCTCTCCAAATTGAATTAGTAAACACTGCCAATCACTGACAATCTATAGTAATAGCAGCCTGAGCAGAAGCAGCCAAAGAAATGCTCCTGCTTAGAAAATGTGTTTCCCACAAACTGCTCCCTTTTCAGCCAAATGTGGGTCATTCTGGTCCTTCTGGGATGTTGTAAACCTGAGAGAAAGTACAGCAGGTGTTACTTGGGTGTGATGGGGAGTAAAGTATGTCTTTCCTGGTTAATGTTTGACTCCAGTAATGATATTTAAACACATCTAAGGTGCCTTTTCCTCATATCAATCCCTCTCTGCAAAGTTTCACCCCTACCCCCACCCCCACACACCCCATGGCACAGTCTTGCCTATCCCCTTCCAGGATTGTCATTACAAGTCAAAAATACATATGTGCCTGCTCCTTGGACCATCCAGAACGCACTCCAATGTGGAGATTCACTGTGATTCCTTTTGTGAATAACTAATAAGAGCTCGTTGTTAATTTTTTTCATTGTTAATTTTTTAATAGTCTAATGAAAAACAAGAAATTTTTCTGAAAAACACCGTGTCTTTTGATTTTGTTTTTAAAAGGATTCCCCACCGAGCCCTCCTTACTATATAGTGTATCAATCAGGATAGGCTGTGTTTTGCTGGCAAATCACATGGTCAAATCTCCATGTGAATGGTATGAGAAAGTACAATCATCCCACGTGCCAAGAAGGAGAGAAGAAATGGAAGCATGAGTGAGCAGCACCAATGGCTAACACAGGTAGATAGGGGCCAAGCCATAGCACAATACTAGGTTTCATTCTAAATACAATACGTAGCCCTTAAGGGATTTACATACAAGACAAAATTTATTTTGATTTGCAAATTAACCAGATCACTCTGGTTGTTCTAAGGAGAATGAGTTGAGGGTCACCTTAAGAGGCAATGTCAGGGGGAAAGGGCCATGGCAAGTTCAAATGGGAAAGATGCTGTTAGTTCAAGCAAGAGCGGAAGCAGGGAGATGGAGAGAATGTGAATACCTCTGATATATACTTTGGAGATAGAATCAATAGGCTTTACTGAAGGAAAACCCTAAGTTCAGTCTGAAGAAGACTGAGTTTGAGATGCTCACGAGGCACAAAAATAAAGATATCAAATAGACATGTGGATAAATGAGGCTAGGTTCTGGGCTAGACTTATGAATTTAGGTGTCATGAGTATGCAGAGATTCTCCAAAGCAGTGGTTCTCAACCTTGGCTGCACATTAGACTCACCTGGGAATCTTTTTACAATCCTGATTTCTGGGCCTCATCCTCCGGAAATTCTGTTTGTTACTAATGTTGTGGCCCCACCCCATAACAAAGAAACAGAATTTCCAGAGGATGAGGCCCAGAAATCAGGATTTTAAAAAGATCCCCAGGTGATTCTAATGTGCAGCCAAGGTTGAGAACCACTGCTCCGAAGAATGAGAAAAGATGAGGTCACCTATGCAGAGTGTGGAGAGACGACAGGGCTCAAAAGGAGTCCTGAAAACTCCCAACTTACTTAGTAGAAGAATCTCTAAGGATTTTTCCAATTCTTACTCAGAAGGGGTGGGGTAGATGGAGGAGGCGGTAGCAAAGGACACTGAAGAGGAGTGAGCAGGAGAAAGAAGAGCCAGGGATGTGGAGTCACAGACCTCAAGAGGCGAGAGACAGTGTGAGATGTTGCACAGCTACTCCCCTCATCGCAAACCTCCCACCAATGCCCATCGAGAGTCCGCCTTCTTCAGTCTGGAGTCATTGATCCTTGAGTGTGGCTTTTTGTTGTTGGTTTTGTTGTTGCTAATCCTCACTCGAGGATATTTTTCCATTGATTTTTTGGAGAGAGTGGAAGGGAGAGGAAGAGACAGAGAGAGAGACACATCGATGTGAGAGAGACACATCGATTGGTTGCCTCCTGTAGGCCAGGCACAGGGATGGAGACTGCAACGGAGGTACGAACTGGGGACCTTCAGTCTGCAGGCCCATGCTCTCACCCACTGAGCCAAACCAGTTCGTGCTTGATGTGTTTTCAAGAGGCCAGAGTCCAAGAGGAAATGTCAGATGTGGGAAAACTTTTCAGCCCAGGGCAGGCCAGGTAGGTGTTAGCAAGTTCAGGTGCAAGCTCCCTGAGTGTGCCTTGGCCCTGTAGGCCTGCCTGTCCCCAGCACTGGGTCCTCCCTGGCCTGGGTGGGCTGCGGGTTGAGCGTTCCCCGTGGCAGAACTGGAAGGGAGAGGACGCAAGGGAAAGCTAGTTTGCAATCCTTCCACTCCCGTCCCACAGGCTGCTTCTGCCAAGAGCCTGAGCCGGGAACCATCTCTCCGTTTCGCAATCACACACTTTCACCAACCCTTGGGCTGTCAAACCTGCTGGGGCAAAGGGCTCAGGTTACATCTGGGCTCTCACTCTACCTAAGACCCTGCGTGTCTCTCCCCTGCTGGTCAGGGCTGGAGCTAAGGTTCTCTCCCCTCACTCCCCGCAGTCCTAGCAGGTTTCCCTAAACCAGAGAGCAACCAGCTCGCACCATACAACCTGCATCGGGCAGGTTACATTCTTGGAGTCACCCCTCAGAGCCCACCCCCCTCACCACGCCCAACCTTCCAGCCACAGTGAAGGCGCCCCCGCGTGGCTGCCGTGAGACTTGCTTCAGTCTTCCGGGGCTTGGAGGCCGGTGCATCTGGGCGTCCGTCTCAGCGCTGCCTGTGTGTAGGTAGACACGGCCTTGGCTGACTCACTGACCACGCAGCGCCAGCTCCAGCTGTAAAGTGAGGCGATGATAGCCCCCGTGGGGTGAGGGTGCGGACGGGAGAGTCGCTCTCACCGGCTGTCAATTCTGCTCCGTCCCGCTAGGGGGCAGGCTCCCTGCACGTCGGCTCAGCCTGATTTCCTAACTTTTCAATCACTCTCCTTCATTAAAGGGCTTTCATTCCCGTTCTGAACACGTGAAAGTATTCGAATTTAAAAGTCTATCTCATATTCAAGTCAGAGCCTACCAGCCCTTCCCCCCCCCCCCCCCCCCAGCACAGCCGGATGTATACCTTTAAGGCTAGAGGGAGGGCGCGGTCTTCCGGCTCAGACACCCCTCCCCCTTCCGTGCCCGCAGCTTTTGGCGCGAGGGTAGGAGGGCAGAGCGGACACAGAGGCTCTTTATGTGACTGGCTCTTGGTGTGCACTTTGGTCTCCTGGCCCCGGGCTGTTTGCACTGACCTGGCTCGCGGTCCGCGGGCTCCGTGCGGACACGTGGCGGCCCCCGCCGGCTCCTGCGGAGGAGGGACCCCCTCCCAGCAGCTCCCCTGGCACTGGGGGTCCCCGGGAGAAGGTTACACCTGCTCCGGCTGCACACCGCCGCCCCTTGCCCCCCCCCCCCCCCCAGAGGTCCACTTCTCTTTGCTAGCTGCCCCGTCTCATCTACCCACAGCCGGCCCAAATATGTGAATCAATCTGTGCTCAAACAGATTTTAAATTCCTTAACATGCCTCCGTTGATCTTTTAACACTATTATGTTAAACTACCTTCTTCCGACTCCGTCCCCTCACTGATTTCTATGCCACCATAGCTGGGAAGCCCCTCTCACATACAAGGTCGGGCAAAGGTACGTTTCTAGTTGTGCGTATGGAAAGCAATACAATAATTAATAACGAATAATACAAGAATATAAACTCTGTGTTGCATATACTCACAGCTGTATTTTGCCCACCCTGTATTTTTGAAATGAAACAGCCAGTGGTGAAATGAGTGCTTGTCTCTGGAGGCCAGAGGGAACCATGATGTTTTCTAAATACCTGTGGATGCGAACCAAAGGGGACTCTGTAATGAAGCTGACAAGCTGTGGGGAAGGGGAGGGGGAGGGGAAGAGGAAGGGGAAGGGGGCCCATGGCAGGAATGACAAGCTCAGTGACTGAAATGTACCACCCAGGATGGTCTGATCATGAATTCCTAACAGGGCAGGCCATGTGGGTGGGTCATGTCCCAGGCCTGTAGCCTCCTTAGCCAAGGCCAGTCTTTTCTTTAAATGGGTCTTGCGCCTCTAGGATAAGATGCCTTTGAAACATCAGAGGAATTTCTCCCTAGACCCCTCAGAGGCACAAATGCAGGCATGGGAGGGAGGCCACAGCGCCCTCATTGTTATCTTGTCTCCCCTGCCCAACACCATCTCTACATGCTGTGAATGTGAACTGTTGACTATCCTGCACCCCCCCGTGTAACGGAAGCATTTTGCTTTTCATCTGGTCCTAGAGATTCCCCTGCTTTGCTCTCTTTGGCCTCCTGAATCTACCGCTGATGCATCTCATTCTCTGGCCCCACCCTCCTGGTGTTTCCTCTTTGATTCTAATGGATAAACTGAGCTGCAAAGCTGCCATTCTCCAGAGCGTTTTCTTGACCCGTTGAGATTGTGCTTCTGGCCATATCCTCAAAATCGTGGCTCCTATAAACTTTCCTCCAGCTTTCCCAAAGGTTGGACATCTTCCTAAAACCGAAACGTCCCAGGCTTTGAGGCACCGATCGTCTCTCCTCTGCACAGACACCCCTTTAGACACTTCCTTGTTGCTGCGAAAGACCCAGTGCCCTGCCTTCCACGTTTCCCATCCTACACCAGTTTCTTAACATCTCCCCTGCCGTGATCGTTCTCTTGCAGCTGGTGAACAGTCCGCTTCCTAGAAGCCATGCTCAAGGGACTGAACCTTCCCTTCATTTCTTGGTCTTGGACCATTTCCACCCAGAAAGATGATATTCCCACTATGTATTATTCATCCCTTTAGCTCCCCTTTGTTCATGGATAAGTCCACGCCGATAGTCCAGCTCAGTGGTTCTCAAAGTGTGTTCAGCAGCATCAGCATCACCTGGGAACATGTCAGAGATGAAAGTTCTCTGTCCACACCCAGACCTACTGAGTAGGAGACTCTGAGAGCGAGGCCTGGCAATCTGTTTTAGCAAGTCACCCAGGGGATGATAGAGGCTGTCCCCTGCCTTCATGTGTGATCACTATGAATGGGGCACATTTGGTAGATCTCTTCTTGGAGACTTTTAAATATATATATTGATTTCAGAGAGGAAGGGAGAGGAAGAGAGTGAAATATCAATGATGAGAGAAAATCACTGATCAGCTGCCTCCTGCACCATCCCCTTCCCTCACTGGGGATGGAGCCCGCAACCCCGGGGCATGTGCCCTGACCGGGAATCAAACCGTGACCTCTTGAGCACTCAACCACTGAGCCATGCCGGCCGGGCTCTTGTATTTTTTTTTTTTTTAAGCCAAAAACATCCCAATTAGTGTCCCAAGCACTTGCATGGAGACATGGCGAACTGCTCCCTAATTTAGAAAAGACTATGCCATTTTAACAAGTTTGCTTAGTAACCTTCAACAAGCCCCTGAGCACTGGAAGCCCAAAGTCTCCCTGTGCTGGGGGACGCTTACATTGAGCTGGTCCCTCGGCATGTTCCGGCCACAGGGCCAACCTTCAATGCCACTCCCCCTCCAGGCTCCACTAAGACCAGATGCATTTCATAAACTCAGTTATTGCTTCTAAGCATCTCTGGC